CGTTGGTATTAATCAGATTGATTCGAGGGATGTTTATAAGTCAACCTCCTTATCGCTTTTACTTAAAAAAACGATATTGACTGCCAAGCACGTAGGGACTTATGAGATGTATTTGTAAGATGTTAAAAGTACCTACCATATGCTCAGTGCCAGTCAAGTACGCACCAAGTACCTGCCAAGTACCTACCGTATGCCCGTCAAGTACACGCCAAGTGCCTGCCCAGTACCTACCAAGTTGAAAATTATCAGGACATAAACATATAAGCTTTTGTAGCAGAAAAGAAAATGTTGTCAAGCTTTTGAGTTTGACATAATTTATGATAATTTTTTTTTAGATGTCTAATCACCATGTTGAAACAAGACAATAAATAATCTTGTAATCGCTTGGTTATTTCACAGTTAGCATTTGCCGCTGAACGTTCTGGAGATGGTCCATGCAGCAGCAGAATACTTATACTTATGGTGAGAATAATATATTGCACGCTTTATTACGTGTGGTGGGACTGCACTCTTACAGTAGTTCTTGTAGACACACGGCTACATGACAAAACATGCGTGCGCGACATCTACCAGTGACAGAGTAAGAAGTAATCAGTCTGCTTATCGACTGGGCTTCTCCACTGCGTGGCAACGCTGCTGTTTGTGATTGTTAGCACCATGATAAAAAGCGTTCGAAAGGGGGTAAACATCCCCTTAATTGTAATATTTGCAGTTTATAAACTACTGCATTAAAAATTATGCAAAAATTAACGTTAAATTTGAAATAATTAGCTTAAGAAGATTGCTCACATCATCTTTTAATAACACTTGCTTAACTATACAGAAATTATATCAATTGTAATAAATATTTCAATAAGATTTAGCATTGCGAAACTCATCTACTATCCAGCCAGTGGTGCAAATAATCGCTGACTAGAGGGCTGGCTGCCTTTACTCTCACAGCGAATATGCTTTCAGATTTTTATGCCGTTTGGAAACGTCATGTTAACACATATTTCCGATCGGAAATTTCAACTAGGCTACCTACTTGAAAAATGCATGACAGAATTTCGTGTGTAATTACTTCGGTAAAGCTATACGGCCTTTCATGTGGTTTTACATTACGACTTCCCTTTCTTTGAGTATAACCCCGGTTAATTGGTGATGGTAACGATCGACTTAAGAATATTATCTGTGCCGAGGAAACTCTAAAATTAGGAACCAACACACAAACAATGTTAGTGTTTATATGTCGGAGGGCGGGTTCGTTGCCCTGTGTAAAAGAGCGAAGTTGCTCAGATTGACGATTATATACAATATTTAAAATAATTATTAAGTTTCAAAATTTATCTGTTGAATAATCAATTAATTTCTGCACCATAGACAGCAATTGTTTATTGATTATTACTTTATTGAATTCTCCTGAATATTCCCTTAATTTAATCAATTTAACAATTTTAATATCTTTTTTAACTTATTCAATATTTTTCTAATCTAATATCTTTTTTAATTTATTCCTGTCCCTTTTTGGGGTACAGATAATATTCTCAGTTTATATAAACGATTTGAAATCTTAACAGCTATTTTTCTAGTTTTTATCTTAAACTATAAAAGGAACTCGCAATCTTACGTGGAGGGGAAGGTTTGCTTAAATAAGTACAATCAATTTATTTTTAATTATCTTATCTTTTTTAATTTATTCCTGCCCTTTTTTTGGGTACAGACAATATTCTCATTTCATATAAACAATTTCATAAATATCTTAACAGCTATTATTCTAGTTTTTATCTTAAACTATATAATAGGAACTCGCAATCATACGTGGAGGGGAAGGTTTGCTTAAATAAGTACTTTATTTTTAATTAATTTTTATTTAATAAATAAGCAATTTATTTTTAATTATCTTATATTTATTCAATCATATGATTCTAAGGAAATTATATCTTCAATTTTTACATGTATTAATTATATTTGAGTAATCGCNGATATTTAAGCTGTGAAAAGTGGGTGGGGCTTAAGTTAAAGTTGAGGAGGATGCGCTCCCGAGGGGTCATCTGATCAGGAGAAAAAAACAGACAAAGAGTAAATATATTAAAAACATGAGCGAAAAGTCTTGTATAGTTTAAAAAACTACTCATACTGTGCAGCGTATCAAAAAAATATTTTGTCATTATGTCTTATTGATGAATTTATTATTTTAGTTCTCTCTTAATTAATTTACTTACAAACATTTACGTCTTCTTTTGAAAATTGCTTTCAATGTTGTATACTTAAATTTTCTTTTAATCTATAACCAATTTATAATGAATCTCTCAAAATCGTACCCTAGTGCCTTGACTACTTGAGGATGCGTCGTCTCCACGCTTAAAGCGGTCAAGCACCGAAAGTCCAAGTAGGAACCGGTTAGTGGAAGGGTTACCTATAGGTGGTGTGCAAACTTACTTTTCAGCTCTTGGCCTTCGTACTCATTCTCCTTCTCTCACTTTGTGCTCGTCACGGTAATGTACCGATGCACGAGAGAGTTCCAGGTCTGGATGACCGCGGATCTCCGCGTCCCAGGTTCGCTGGAAGAGATCTCCTGTGCTCTGCGCGCTGGTGCCTTTTATACTAATGTTGTTTCCTTTTGAGTAGCAGGTTTGCTCTTCTTTAGGTGAATGCGCTCTAGCGTTTTCTCGACGTACTATACGCACATTTCCCGCGCGTGGCGTTCAAATTTGAATTTTCAAATAGGAATTTTTTATAAAATGAAATATATGTATATATAAAAAAAAATGTGTACCCTTGAATTGTCTATTGGACGGATTTTTTATTACAAGAAAATATAATAAATAGAAGAATATAAATGTAAATGTAAAGCGTATATTATAAATGCTAGGTGATAGAAGTGCCCCCTTGCAACATATGCCTTTACAAAAGGGGTTTTGGATTAGTAATGCCATTGGTAATGACGTACGGGAAAACACATGAATATACAAATTGGAAAAAAAAATCTTATAATCTAGAAACAACTTCAGTATAGTCTTATCTACCATCCTTTCAAGTTGCTAGTAGTTTTGTTTATTATTTGCATGAACAGGGCAAAGTACTTGGAGCACGTTGCCTAGTTGATGTGTTTTCGTAGTTGACTACATTACCTATACCTTGAATAAAATAGATATACATTTTTTTTTAAATGTATATTATAGTGCTCTACGTCTGGCTCCTTTAATAAAGGCACTACTATGGGCCCTTAGTACTTGGGAAAGGAACAAGGAAAGGGATTGGCGGCCTCTCATTACCGGAGGAGGGTAGGGAGAAATTAGGCAATTTTTGCTGCGAAAAGGTCGCCTAAATCTTCCTCGAGGAGCATGGCGTGGTGAAAAAGCACAAGTGAAAAATCACAAAGGTACTTGCCCGAAAAGTCGCACTGGCTGGGAATCGAACCACGGTCTCCCACGTGTCAATCCACGACCTAGCCGATTGAGCCACCGCGCTCTCATGAAATATTTAAATATAATACGTTATATATAAAATTATTATAACTGAATGGTTTTGTATCAGTCCTGTAAGTTTTGTTGACGTGTATTATTTCTATCATATTTTTTAATGCTGATTTGGCAGCCGTCCCATAAGAGCCCATGTTAAATACGATTTTTTATTGTGTTACTTCTCTATATTTGATATTATAACACATGCTAAATAAAAAATATGAGGGAATTCTGAATAGTCTAAGTATTATTATTACTATCCTAAAGTTTCATAAGATTCTGTTATTTATTTTTATAAATAGGCAACGTCCTTAACTAGCAAAAAATTTTAAGTATATTGTGCTTTAAAAATCACTAGAGTCAATGAGAATAATCAAAGTGTTTTGAAAGTAGACAGCTCATGAGAAATTTGGGGCTTGAAAGCTATCTGCGTATTATTAAAGTTACAATATTATTATGTTGAGTTAAAAAGATATTGATAGTGCCTGACATATAATACGAAAAACTTTTGGGCTTTCACTGTAAAAACTGCATCATGAACGGTTTTGATACCTTTGACCACGTGAACGCCACCAATAAATTTATCTAATCAAGCTCAGCTGTTTTTTGAGTTCCCAACTACTATCAATACAATCGCATTCAATATCATGCTATAAATATAAAAAAAACCGTTAAACTACACAAGTAATTTTGACCAAGAAAACATATTTTCTCGATAGCTACTTAACAACTAAGAGACTAACATAATAACAACAATTAATAGTCTGCATGCGTAATTGTGTGACTTTCTGAAAAAACGGCGTGTAGAAATTACAGAATCAATACATATTAGGGTCAACAGTGAATTAGCGCTCGCTAATCAGCTTGTCGTGTTTTACTACACTGACCATAATTCACTTAATTTTCTCCTTGGATGGTTTACCCATTAGTATAAAAAAGAGTGAATTGCAGCTTTCGTTAGTTTATATGTTATAGCACTTTATATTAATTCATATCAAGCTTGAGTAGTTAAAAACATTTTGAATGTTACGTGTGAATATCAATTTTTTATAATATATCCAAATTTATGAGAATCATGTTAATTGTAATAATGTATGCTGCTTATTTATTTTAAGCAGGCGCTTTTGATTTAATAATCAACTTATTAAATAAAGCTGAAATGTGTCCACCAAATTCCTCCGGCAAAAAATACGTACACATTATTAATTATGGATATTTAAGCTGTGAAAAGTGGGTGGGGCTTAAGTTAAAGTTGAGGAGGATGCGCTCCCGAGGGGTCATCTGATCAGGAGAAAAAAACAGACAAAGAGTAAATATATTAAAAACATGAGCGAAAAGTCTTGTATAGTTTAAAAAACTACTCATACTGTGCAGCGTATCAAAAAAATATTTTGTCATTATGTCTTATTGATGAATTTATTATTTTAGTTCTCTCTTAATTAATTTACTTACAAACATTTACGTCTTCTTTTGAAAATTGCTTTCAATGTTGTATACTTAAATTTTCTTTTAATCTATAACCAATTTATAATGAATCTCTCAAAATCGTTTTAGCCCATTATTTGTTACGTGGAAAATTGGAAAAGACATGAGACTACGTGGTTGTATTGGAACATTTAACGCCATGCATTTACATACTGGATTGCAAGAATATGCCACAACCAGGTAAGTAAAATGATTTCCTGGGAATGATTGTATAACATACTTACAACACCATTACGCTTAAAAGATTTTTCTTTATTTCCATTTTACAGCGTAATGTTAACCTAATAAAGTTGTCTGTCATAACAAAATAAAGTGTCTACTTAAGCTAATGAAACTAAATACATGCATAAGTGACAGAAAATTTTAACAAATACATTCATTAATTAATAAGAGTGCAAGTAATCAGAAAAAATCTACAGTCTGTTCAACTGAACATAAGCAGTGTCTTAAGACCGTGAGATGAGTTTGTTTTTCTCCTGATAAACTATAAATATTAGCTAGAAATAGCATAGAATCACAGAAGTTGACTTGTTTTATTCTGTTGTATAGTTTATAAAACATAAGATAGCTTAGTCGTTGAATTAACAGAAAGATTTTTTTCATTATTCAGTGAAACAAAATTTTGTTTTCACGAAAAAAAGTAGTTTTGTAACATGATTTTTTTTATTTTTTTTAGCATTGAATAAAATAAAAAATTATCTATTAGCTTTTTTTTAGAAATTTGAGCTTTAACTTAACGTAAATGAAAAATTCAAAATTAGCACTTTTTGACATAACATTTTTGTATTATAATTTTGATGGTAATAATTATGAATAGTACATTTAATATAAATCGTTAGCTGTATAACAGACAAATTTTTATATAGATACACTGTTACCGTGCTTCCTCGATAATCAAGGATATCTCGTAAAAAACATGTCCGAAGTATAAAGTGTAACTCCACAAATTTTTAGGATTGATGCTTAATAAAGAGTATGTCCTACATAGAACGCAAATATATCTTATATTCGAAACGTGCAGTATACGCAAAGACACATGAGAAACATCATAGGTTTGTATGTATGTAGTTAGGTAGGTAAATGAAGATAACTCAGTATCTCGTTTCTGGCTGTTATGAATAGAGCGTTTTAAGCAAGAAGGTAGTCTGTGTAAAGTAACTTGCCTGGCGTATCTTTACCGATTCACGATACTTTACATAATGTCGGCAGCTCGTAAATCGTGCAATATAAAATATAAAAGCGATATTGAAATCGAATCTTAAGGAAAAATTCTCGTATCTTCCTGCCAAGAAAAGTCATTAAATTATCAATTAGTGGTAGAGGAATGCTTTTTCAGCTTGAATTTAACGCGAAGAAACGATGATCTAGAGAAGAAAGGAAACCTTTGAATTTGGAGATGAAGTATGCTGTCTTTGATTGGGGTGCTGACGAATGATCAAAATGTTTTGTTGTTTGCCGAAGTGACATTATAAATTTTGTGCTTGAAATTGGAAATTGTGTGCAATGCAAGAATTGTGGCATCCGAAAAGTGTTAGGAAATGAATTGATTTGTAATTACCATTTGTTTTGCCAGATAAGAAAAGAGCACTTCTTGTATGAATTTAGGAAGTACTAATCGAGTAAAAGAAATAAGATCATTGTTCCTGCTGGTATGACTGCCTACCTACGAAGTCGTGATATCATGGTAAATAAGTCTTTCGAGGACAACATTGGTTAAAGAGTGAATCAGTACAATAAGCACGGGATGATGAATTTTATTAAGCCTGGTATCTCCAAAGTCGCACGTGGAGTTCTAAATTCGTGGTACTTAATCACTGTTCACGATTTTTCCAAAGCTTTTTTATCCAGCTACATGAATGAACAATGCAGCTGACGTACATGGTCTCCAAAAAATACAAAAAAAAAGACGTTTCCTTAAGACCAACTGTTTTTTTTACTAACCGTTTGACTTACTTACTTAGAACATTATACAATAAAACACAAAAATATAAGCTAAAGTCTAAACTTCATATCAATAGCCGTCAAGACCTTAGTCAAGTTAAATCCTTTAAAATACTAGAAAACTATGTGTTGGTTTGATTAGAGGTTACTTCATTATTAACAAATGTGTCGTGTGATTTCTTTCTAAGAAGCCTAAAAACAAGTGTGAATTACATTTGTTATAAATTCTACTTCTCCAAAAGAAGCATCCTAAAACTGAATTATTTGTAACTAAAATTAAAGTATTTCTATAATGTTTATATATTATAAATATATGAGGATAAATCAGTCAATAAATCTTCTCAATCAAATTTTTCTATTTTTATTATGTACACTTTTTAAAGTGATTTTCGTGTCTGTAACTGACTTTGCGATTTGAAGACATAAAACGAATTTTTTTATGCTCATTGTTCCACGTGCAGAGAATTTATGCCTGTATTTACTTAGTTACTTATATAAAACATTTCAAAAAAAAAGATAATCCTGCTCGTATTTTCCCTTGTTAACGTAGGAGAGTAAACAACAACTGAAATTGGAAAACCGCTAAAAATTTTTTTACGTATAGAAAAGACTTGATTAAATAATAAAGTTTATTTCATGTAAATAAAAATGCATCCCTTGTTCATTTATACTGTTGAAAAAACAAAAACAAAAAGTGTGCTCATAAATCTGTGCCTCTGTTTTTTACCGCTACCATTAATTACCCTCAATTAATGGAACTTATGTTGCAACGGGCATTCAGTAATCTTCTGAAATTTCTTTCTTATGGATTCACTCTGATATACACTTTGATTCATTATAAATTTCATAGTTAGTTTTACGCAAATGAATAAAAACACAGAAACAAAAATGGAGCTTATTTTTCAAGGCACGGATTAAGCACAAATTTGTGGTAAACAATTGTCAAAAAAGTTTAATTACGTGATCATTAAATAGAAAGAGGTACATACACACTTCTTATCAAAAATTAGACTTTTTATTGGGTAGCCTATTAGGTGGCCTGCAATTCATACATAACTTATGGAATTTAAAGAAAAATGTGTGTTGCTTTATGTATTGAAATATATTTAGTTTAAAAAAGTTATATCATCACTAAGAATTGTGTTTGACATATTGGATTCGAAATCTTTAGTTTCATAATACTAAGTTTGGATTTATAGTTAGATATCCTGTATATTCATCTTCAGCAGAATTCATATTTTTTTAAAAGACGTGTCCACCATCTTTCATTGTTTATCTCTGAGTTTAGAATTATAATCAGAAGCCTCAGAACTTTTCATTTGACAATGTTAAAAAAAATATAAAAAATTTTTTTATTATAAAATCCGCTATATGTAATCAGGTATTGTAAGCTGAGTAGGCTGTTGTAGTTATGAGTATTATTATTTCTTTATTTTCTATTTATTTATGTCATATTTCGTCCCTTGGTTTAAAGGGCTTCCTTTACATTTCTTATTATTATCTGCACGTTTCCATATGCCTTTGGATTATTACATTAATATATTCCTTAACTTAGTTAAAAAATATTGAAAATCAAGACAGCCATAACAAATGTGTTCAGTTTAATGTAAGGTTATGCTGAAAATTGTGTGGTAAAATTTATTGTTTTTCTGATTGCAATGTGAAACTACTAGGATAATTAAAATGACTGTTACTTATTCGAATTTACTAGCTTACATTTTATACAGTAGAGTGTTACATTTACACATTTATTCATTTATACTTCTAAGGAAATTTATCCTTTATAATCTATTCAAAGTTTATTATCTGCAAAGACTAAATGTACTTTAATCTAATTTGATATTACTTAAATCCAAATCTTCTCGAACATTCGCATAAAAGTTTATATATATAAGTATACCATTCAGTCTAGTCAAGCGCCACTGCTAATCTGAATTCTTCACTCAGTCAGCACATGTACATACCAATTGATTATAAATAAATGCTGCTTTTAACTTGAACTTTCAAATACCTCACTTATCCTTTTACAAAATCTGCTCTCGACGTGGTCAGGGCTTAGCTCGCAACAGAAACGGCCCTTCCATGAACAAATGTCTGAAATTCAAATATTAACAATGCAAATCATAAATCAGTTTGTCTGCCTGTATTTCATTTAAAAATCATTATATATACTCTCCTTTTTATTGTTTTGATTGATATTTTCACTCTTCTTTCTTCTTTTTTTTTCATTTTTTTATTTTTTGTACCCTTACATTTTTTTGTCTTAATGTCTTAAAACTTTTCAAGACATTTGTTTTTTTGCTTTCAAACCCTCTCTATTTCTTTTCTTTTTTAAATTTCTCTATACAAAATTTCTGTTTCTTTTGCATCCTGGTCACAAATTTTTTCTATCTCTTTTTTTCTCTTTGTATTTTATATATTTTTATTACATGTGTATACTTATCTTCCTTTGTGTGTATGTGTATACGTTGTTGTCTCTTAAGTTTTCTATCTTTTCCAGTTTATTTTTTTTTTACTCACTAATTTTTCAACCGTTATTGCTCTTTGAATTTTTTCCCGGTCCTATCTCGTTTCTATTACTTCCTTTTTTCTTGATGTTTCCAGTCTTTTTTATTTGTCTTCTCTTTCGTACTTTTTTTGCTGATTCTATTCGTAAATATCTATTCTTTTCGTTAAATTTAAGTGCTTTTCTTAACGATTGTCGTATTTCTATCTAGTCCTAATAGCTATTACTTATATCTTTTTCGTATACTTTTCAACCTCTTATCTTATTCTTATACTTATACTTCTTCTCTTAATAACGTTGTACTCTCTACTACTGGTACAAATAACTTTTTTCTCTTTTTGTAACTGTTCTTAAATATCCTCTCGTACAGTCTATACGTTTTTAATAGCAATTTTATCTTTTTTCTCTTTGATTCTTCTAAATGCCTTTCATTTCTTTCTTTTTTTCTAAAAATATTTCAAACCCATCTAATTTTAATTCACTTTGTCTAATTTTTTTCCCTATTTTCATATTTTATTATTATTTTTTTTTTTTCTGTAATATTAGAATTTTTGTTTTTTTATATCTCAGAAGTACATTTTTTTTTTTTTTTTTTTTTAATGTACTTTTTGAATCTTTTCAATACGTTGTTTCAGTAATTCTTTTCTACGTTCTATTAAAACTACATTATCAGCGTGAGATAAGCTGTATACTTTGTCATTGTCTATTGCACGCCCTTCTACTTGTCTTTTTT